CGAATTCTTGTAAATCTTTCAAAGATGTTTCGAGCAGAAAATCAACACAACAATTTTTTTCATCAATTGGAGTTCCTCGGTGATCTTAGAATTTGAGCTTTAAGAGAAAAATGATTAGATGAAAAGTTATGTTTATCTATTTTGAACATTTTTGAATGCAAAGAGAAACAAAAAAAAAGTTATAAATTAGATGCAAAGGCAAAAAAAAATATCTTCGTGAGCATGGTTTTATTTTTTTGTTATAAATTTTGAATAAAAAGAATAAAAAATAATCAAGCCCTCTAAAACCGACTGTTGTTTGGGTGAAATAGAACTAGAAGTAGCCAATGAGTTAATCATGGTTAGTTTAGTTATGATTAAGTCTAGCTAGTTATAACTAAGGTTATCAAGTTATAAGTAAGTTTATCAAATTATAACTAAGTTTATCTATCATGTCTATACTTGGCAAAATAACTAGAGAAGTTCTAGAAGATTTGAATGAGCATTTCTATTTTGTTTTGTACGAAAGTCTAGATTCCAAGATAAAAGATTTTTGACTTCATGTTTAGTTGTGTTCGGTTTAATTAAATAATTGAGATTTTATTGGTTAGACTGAGTCTAATGTTAACTTAGTGGCAAATGGAAGTTCTAGAAGTTGGAAATGCACAAATGGCATGTCGTCACCTTAATCTAAAGATTGAAAAAATATTTAGAAGGTTTAGAAGTCCAATGGCATGTTGTCACATATTGATAATTAGTCAAAATTACTATGATTTATCTTTGTAAAAGTAAGTTAGATATACAATACCATTTTTTACTATATATATACTACTTGAAAAGTAGTATATATAGAGAGTTATGAAAGAGATCTCAAACAATTTTGGAGTGTTCATGTGTAAAGAATTCTTTCATGACTAAAGTAATAACGTTTTTTGGAGTGTATGTGTATTTTTGAGTAATGAAGTGAGAATGTGTTTGAGATATGATTTTGAGCAATAATTATAGCCTTCTAAAACCATGATGAACTATCGTAAAGCCATCTAAGGTAAACATGAGTTAGAATCAACTTTGAGGTTGCATTCAAAAGACGCTACTTTCTATCATTATGAGTACTTTAAGAAGTTGTGCAAATCTAATGAAGTGAGAGAGATTGATTTGGATGATTTAAATGATCTGCAGATCTCAAATGATATGGCTTACAATGAAGTAATTGATGGAATGAGGTAGAAGATGATCATGAAACCTATGATGAATTTAATCATGTTATGCTGGAAGTTGCAATCAATAATCAAGAAGAGATCAATCCACAAGAATCTATGTTGAAAATTCTACTGTTTTGTAAACCTAACATTTGTATATATTTTCTCTAATTATTTACTTTTGACCCATTTGGACGAGCATGAAAACTAAAGTGAGGTGGTATATTTGAATGATGCGGTCAAATGGAAGCGATCAATGAAAGAGGTGTTAAGATTTCTAGAGAAGAACAAAACATGAATCTTGATTCAAATGCCATAAGTAAAGAATACATTACAAAATAAGTGGATGTTAAGACTGATGGCAAAAATTGTTACAGGACAAGATTGATGATCAAGAGTTTTTTACAAAAGAAATGTATTGATTATATTGAGATATCTCATTTGATATGAAGCTTACAACCATTCAAATTATTTTGGCAGTGTGGCGGTAAAAGAATTTGCACCTAGAATAATTTGATGTGAAGACTATTTTATTTCATGTAGATTTGGAGGAGAAAATCTATATGATGCAACCTCAATTACTGGTCAAGTGGTAATTGTTGTTAGCCTCTGGAAGATTATTTGAAGTAAAAGAGATGCAAAAGGAAATTGGAACACTAAAATGCAAGTATTACCAATTTGTCTTCAAGTGAAAGATTGTTGGATTTGAAGACAACTTCTTTACCAAGTAATGTGATCTCAAAGTTATTATTGACTATATGAAAGAATGTAGATTACTTCTTGTAATTATCACTTACGAAACAGTTTTCTCTTTAATAAAAAAATTTAATAAAGCAAAGTTTGTGAACTTTGTCACAACCCGTTTGGTTTTTCTACAATTTTAGTGTTCTATTCTCTCTCTTGTGCTCATCTCAATATCTTCAACCGTCTGCTTTTCCACAATTACATTGTTCTATTCACTCTTGTACTGATCTCAATATCTTGTTGTTGTATTATGAGGTTAACCTCGATTTTACAATGTGTGCGTAATTTGATTACACCATAGTCACTCCACCCAAAATTTACCAAAGGATGTTAAGAAGGGGTAAACGCTCTACGACGCAAAGAGAGTAACGAGGAATAGTCTGTCGCTACTCGGAGTGTAAGAATTCAAAGTACTTTGGCTGCAGATTTGGTTCTATAGGCCAAAACGGATAAGCTCCGGAGCCTTCCAGATGAGAGGTAGTGGAGACATTTCATTAGATTGTAATGTGTGAAGAGGGAGATGAAGAAAGTAACCAAGAATGGTGGGATTACACATTGGTGTAAGGCTTTTGGAGTTTGGAAGTGGAACTTCATCCTCTTACACTTCTGTTGAATCTTCTACGTTTCTCGATACGAAAAGAATTGCCAATTCTATTCCCCACTTCTGAATTGGGGATTGTGGACGTGGTTAGATACATAATCAACTAATAGAAAGTTTCCTCATGTCATCGGCAGGGGGAGAGTTGTTTACAGCTGATTGGAGTGCCATCTGTGTAGTATACTTCCAATCTGCTGTGTAGAGGATTAAGTTAGGATAATTAGGAGTAACACTGACTTTGCTGACTTTTGGGCTCATGCTGTCAGTGATTTTTTGTATTAATAGCTCATATCCCTCATTTTTCGTGTGGTTACATCATACATCCAGTACGTTAATATTCTTCTCTAAAAGCAACAGGGCCTACGTTTTTGGTGAACATACAAATGTTGGGAGAGTCCTGGATCGACATGGATTTACAAGCTTCTTATGCTCTCAACATCATCGTAATGGAGATGATTTAATACGAGTAGTATGTTGGCAGAGTCGTTCATGAGTGAAGACCGTGAAGCTTCGGACCTTGCTTTGGTGTACATAGTAAGCAAGTCTATCATCATCGACATTTACAATGGTAGCGAAGATAATAGCCACACGTCCGCCACATGCCAAGTACGTTGACAGGCAGACTTCGGAGTCGAATTTTCGTGCCTCACAACTCTATAACGCCTTGCGTTTTGTTTTCTGTGAAATGTCACTTCAAGTTTTAATCTTAAGCACGACGGAGTTAAGACTGCACCCATTGAAGATTCAAAAGACATCTACCGGACAAACTGTTCTCAGGCTCAAACGCTATTCACCACGAATTCGTCTCAAAATATCGATCATTTGAGTCGAAGACTTTTCGAATGCGCTTCGATTTTACGATTGATCAGTCAGTGACACAATAACAAACCTGGACGACAACCCTGTGTGTTTTGGTAATTCCAGATAAGTCACTGCTTGCCAGTCGCCTTCTTTATTTTCATTTGGACAGGGTGCTGATTTGAGCAAGACATGTTGTACATTTGCAAATTCATCGAGGATGGGTACAACCTACATGTCCTTACTTAAAAGACGCGCAATAGGACGAATTGAGCAAGAACATAAAGAACGAGTACCTGCTTGTATTTGTGCTGAAACAGAACTCTTTAAATATTATCTCAGATGTGATGGAATGTATGGGTTGCCCACTGATCGTCCAGATATTTTAGTTAGATACTCGGGAAGTGAAATATCTCAAAAAATCACGTAGGAGACCCGAGCACACTACAGATGCAGCGGCACGTGACCACTCACATCGAAATTCTAAGCATTTACCATTACACCAACCTCTGTAAGGGAGATGAACAGTTGGAGACCGTATCTACCATCGACACGACACGCTCTCTATTAAGCTGAAATTTTTTTGCTCTCTAAAACATTGACAGGTATTTTACATCGAATTTGCTGCATTTGTGATATACCCCAAGCGTAGCAAACTGAACAAGACGTCAAGTCATACTCAAAGCCAACATCTGTAATTGCCCTTTAAGCACTGAATAGAAGACGCACCTCTCCGTCATCTCCAATTTTAGCATACCTTTCAAGTTTCGCTTGTTACTAAACAGTTTACAGTTAGCAGGAGTGGCCACTACCAAAAAGAGTGCGATACTTTAACTTAGCACGCAAAACCTCTTCAGATTCTAATCCATAGGTCCGTCACTACCTAGAACTGAGCGTATCGAGAGATGTAGGTTTTATAATCTTGACGCCACAACGCTGGGCTAGATCAAAACGTTCGTCATCTCTTAACCCAGGGCGGCTTGTCAGCCCAACCTCCCCACTGTGACCAACGGTGCACCACGTTGGAAGCAAAAGAAAGCTGGTTACATCCAGTAATGGTTACCTAGATTTTCGCGTTGTCACATACCTTCGTTCACAATGAAGCTCCTTGAGTGCGAAAATTATCCGACTTGCACAGTACCCCAAAGTCGCACCCTAGGTCGCACAAAGAAAACCAGCATTGCTGTTCGTCACTTCTAATGGAAAAAGAACAAAAATAATCAGCATAATCATTGACAAACCTAACCGGCCCGTGAAATTTTGTCGCTGTAATATTGAATGCACGAAAATAATCCTAACAGATGACTATTTTGTCACGATGGAATCGTGCCTGCAGTCTTCATCAGAGAGGCTGTTCCACGTCCACTTTAATTACATTCGACGAGACCGCGTCCTTTTGAGACTGGATTATATTTTAGCAGCTGGCATCGCAATCGCAAGAGTGGCTACTGGACTCGCACTTCAGGACGAATACCATACCATACCACGGAACGCTACACTAAACGTTCGATAGCCCCAGAATTATTCGATTCAAAAGAAAAAGGGAAGCTAAATTCACCACATGCGGGGCACATACATGTCAACCCACATTCCATGAGGTCACGACAACGAATCCAAACGAAAGAAGATAATCCATTTGCGCATAGAGTACACTTGTGCTCATTGAAGCACAATACAGGAATGAAAGTGATTTCCAGTCTTCGGGCTTACTTAAAACTAATCAAAAACATTGAATGCAGAGATCACTTCTTATCGACAGTTAAACTCGGCATGACATCTATAACCATAAAAAAATTTAAAATCTTTAACATAATCCGTCAATAACAGCCATTTGACTTCACTGACAGATCTGAAATGTACATGGAATATCACCACCTTCCTAGCACTGCAAAGTAGTGCAATGTAGAAACCAGCCAACACAAAACTAATTCTCTGTAAGGTTTTGAGGGGACGAGATGAAGGAGCCTTTCTGCAACAAGCTATCAGACACATAATGGAGACTGACAAGGTGGGATGGTGCGCAGGCAGAGAGCTTGCATTGGTCACTGAATAGTTTGATGATCAAGAAGAAGCTTGGCCAGACAGTAAAGACTTTTAGGTTGACCTCGCCAGGCATGGGATTGAGGTAGAAAGAAGCCACCGGCCTGCTACACTGTACTGTCTTGCTTACTTGGGGCTTGAGGATGCATATAATCTACCCTCCTCTTTTAACTCCCTCTTCTGTGATCATATCACCAATACAACTCAAAATTCAGATATATATCCAGAGATGGGGTTGGCGGGCTAATTGACCAAACCAGAAACAGTGGTCAGCTCCCTTGACCATGCTGAGCTCACTCTTTTGATGTCCGGGAGGAACTAGGATTCCTGCCAGATATCGCAGGATACATATCACGACCCTGCGGCACAGAAAGGCCCAAGGATGAGCACCCAACGCGTTAGCCAGGCATTTACTTCTTGCAAATCGTATTATTCTACGCACAGCTGGGCTTTTCCTGGGGAAACATAGAGTCAGAAATCGTTACTTGCCTTCCTCTGACCAGAAAGAATGCAGAAGACCAGAGCGTCTAGGAAAGATAGGTTATAGTACTCGAAGACCTTAACTTAAACACGACTAACACAACAACCTTCTTGAATCTATCTTGAATTTCCTCTACTGCAGTAAGTCCAGTTCCACGAAGGATAAATCCCCGTGTCAACATGGTTCATATTCCAACTGAAAGGAAAAGTCATTCAATTCTTTTGAAAAAGCGAACCGGAAACTCGTGTTCACGTCATTACCGTTCGCTTAGGCTCTGATGAGGTAACAGGGGAACTCCGCGGCATTGCTGAGGTACGAAGGCTTATCGGTCCCATCTTGGCAGGTGTTCGTGAGGAGTCCACTTCGGTCACCACTGCGGGCCTTATGATTGTGGATATAACAGCTCTTCTTGATGAACTCCCACCACGTAAGAATGAAGAAGAGTGCATACGCTCAGGTTCTGCTAAACCCATATTTCCCTACAAAACAGAAAACATAAGGCCTATCAAATTCCAATCCAGATCGCACACCTTGAAACCTTTCAGGTAGTAAGAACTCTGAGCTCCTTCACTCTAACCAGACTACCTATCGAAGTTTCAGCCCATCATCACGGAAGACAAACCGGCACTCAGAGAGGATTGTATGTGAATGTGGATGACATACACGAGATCCATTCTTCAAGGCTGATTCTTCAAAACGTACTTTACCAGCACAACCAAGAAAACATATCTGGAAATGTGCAGAGCCATTAGAATAAGGGCAGAAACAAAAATAACACCAAAAATAACCTTCGAAGGTGGCAAAAACTAGAACAATCCTGGCAAAATACCAAAATAAAAGGAAGCCACGAATGACACGAACAGCCCAGCAAAACTGCAAGGAGCCAAAATGTGTGATATCATGGCAAGGATATCACTCCTAGAATATTCCTTGATAGGTCCAAGCATTCCCAGCCACAACAGTCGACTTAGACAATTCTCTGCTAATGAGCACTTCGCACCAAAGCCCACGAGGCTTGTTCCCGAAACATTGACGAGTAGAAGAACACAACCGCATTGTGCCATGACTACAAGTAGCTGGGTTATGCTCACGTTCAGGTTTGTGAAAAAAATTGTGGAACCCTATGGTTAACGTGACAGCTGTTTTGCAAAAAAAATGAGAAAATGAATTCCATACCACTGATCTAGAGAAGTCCTGCACAGTCAGCATAAGAGCGAGAGAGAGAGCCTTGGAATACCGTGTGGTTTGAGGGACACTACAAGTAAATGTTTGCAGCTTGGTTACAAAGATTCGCAATACCAGCAGACTGAGAGGCCTGTAACACTAGTGTCTAAACAGTCCTTTCCTTCCCACTAATCTGAATACTGCATGTCAACCAATCTCACCGTCCACGCCATGCGTGCTGGTGAATTTGTTTCCGTATCACCACCTAACATTTGCAACCAACCTTAGGTCACCTCTGGCTACATCTCGATGATCAGGTACAACGACCCGTTAATTTTATACTGTTGTTTACGTCAGACATGCAGAGATCATCGACTGACAAGTCCTCAAAGACCTTCGATATTCCAGTTTTTGACAGCTTTGCAATATCATAACACGCTCGACATCTCAACGAGGAAACCCCGATGGATACTACATATAAAAAAAAAACTACGTAGGAACAGTCATATCCACTGGGTTCAGTCAACCCTGGACTTGGGGACAATGGATGACAAAGTACCCATTGGACTGGCGAGCAGAGATGCCATTTAAGACGACAGCATGCACGAGTTTAGGCTTCGGTCAAATAAACCAAACCTTTATCACTGCTGTCCTAGTTGAATCAATCGCCAATTACTGCATCTAATTAAGAGCAATGGGACACGTGGATCATACCTTCACCTCTGCCACCATAAAGTGCCACAGCACTATCATAATGCCAAGCCTTGGGCTGAGGTATTTCCCCTCAAATCATTTGAGTGTCCTTAGTGTCCCAATCTGCTTGTGCGTCAGTGAGTCGAGAGGTTAAACTTCCACAAATCTCAGTTTGGAATAGTTAGCGTCCGCTGTCCTAACTTGGACGATACTTCCAATCAGTGCAGTGCCAAAGACTAACCCAAAGTTGAAAGTTTTCACTGCTCCACACACACTTGCATCAGGATGTAGGTAGAGCAGTGAAAACTCATCCAACTTTCGCACTACAAAATGTCTAGACATGGTTAACAGACTGAGATCAACATATCCTCGCAGGGTATGTGACAGGTGTGCACCTCATCAAAATTGTCCATGAGAGTGGTGGTCTTGGAGCAATAATGATGGAACACAGCAGTGGGTTGCCAGCACAGATTCTCAAATCAAAGACAAACCACTCAAGTAACACTATCGACCTAACGACATGTCTCAAAATAAGTAGCCAATACAGAGAGATGCGACTACTTACAAACCACAAATGGTAGACTAGGGGGTTATCATCTTTGTCAAAAATAGAACAGTGGACTTTCACACCTGCTCCAATCCATAATACTAAGCCAGTAAACATATTGTCATAGCTTCGAAGCCTCCCATCCGGATCTCCAACAGCCTACAGCACAATACGGGGAATAGAAAGTCCATCTCCACACAGTTGTAGAGTTCTGGTACCCACTGCACTCCACTCTCCCACTGTCCAAATCAACTGTGTGGGATTTCTGCTGATTTTTGGTCAAGTGCAGCTCTTCCGTGAACAATACACATGTGACAAAGGATGACGAAGCATACTTTAAAATCTAAACGCTTGAAGACATCGCACCAGGTGGTGTGTCTTGTACGTCCTCTCGAGGATAATCAGTGTGACAAACGGCCACAAGGAAAACACTCGAACAACCTTGACGTAGAACAAGTAGCGAAAGAAGACCGCCAATGCTAATATGACTCCTTGCCCTACAACTCAGAGCAGTTCTGGGGAAAACAGGAAAATCCCATACCTGCCAGTCTTACATGTATCAAAAACTTGACTTCACGCCTGTTAACCTTGCGGACCTCAACAACTGATCTTCTTTGAAGTGTGTATAATAGTGGGCATAATGAAAGCGATCAAATTATCCCGGTCACAACACTTTCAGTAGGCAACTAAGACACAATCCACAAGCAAATACTGTCATAATGCTCCACACGAACGCCTAGCCTTCTGTAAAAGGCTGGTCTAGGTTGGATAAACAAAAAAGTCCAGCTTCAAACGACACACATTGACATGGCAAGATGTCATACAAAACCTGACATGCAATTTGGCCAAAACTTGACCTCCTATGTAACAAGCCCAAACTTCAGAAAATTGCACTGACATATTTTAAGGTTAAGACTTAAAATACAATGGTCAAATACAGTATCCGAAAATTTGACATAAAAGTTGCCTCTTTTGTCGTGGTTCTTTCCGTAAGCATCCCATCATTCCAACTCTAATCCGCCACTTCATGAAAGTCACTGTCCTCAAACCAGCCTTAAGCTAAAGGGACCCTTCCAAGTCTATACGACTGCAGCTCCTCTTGCCCATTCTCAGATACGCTAGCCGCCGATCAAGTACAACAAAGCCGAGTTCAATATGGTTCTGAAGTTCTACGTCATGATATTCCTTCACCTCATGGAAGGCTTTCCTGCATATTTGAGACCTTCCTTGCAACCACAAGAGATTCAAAAAAAGCGTGATTCATCCATGGAGAGTACGCTACATGGGTCTGCTATTCACGACAGTATAGCACACACACTGGTCTTGAGACATCAAATATGACTTGAATGGCAGACATGGACCCTGCCGACAGTCAAAACTGCAACAGACTGATATCCCACTTAGGGATTGGGACAATGACAGTACACTAGAAGTGTTCACAATAACCCCGGAGAATTCATGCGTTGAATAAAAGGCGTAAAGAGAACGAATATTCTCGAAGGTAGCAGGACATGCCAGTCAGACTGGATTACGCCTTCACAGGCGTCATCACCAGAGAATCTTACGTGTAACAATAGCAAGGCAATACGACCAGGCTCTCAGCCAGGAGTCAAGCCTTGATTCATACACAAAAGCAACGCATATACATCCGAGAGGCTTTTAAATTATACAAATTTGTCATCAGAATGCATAAATTAATTAGACTACTTGAAGGCTAGGAAGCATCTATATATGCCTTGGCAAGGCGGTTGCAATCAAACTTAAAATTGAAAGTCAGGCCATCTTCATCTACTTACACTAAACAACGCCAACTGCACTTAGTGTGCGCCAAGGCCTGAACTTGTGATGAGCATGAGAAGGTAATAATAGGGTACTTTAACTGATACACAACTACTGAAACCAGAGATGAGGACGTACTGTATCCTTCGTGGTAGTCTCATCAGGGCCAGGGCTTTTATGCTTAGGTGGCTCTCCAAATGAAGTCATACCACCTGTTCCAATCGCGGTGGTTGTAAGCCTCCGTCGGGCACCTTCAACTGCATCGACATTTCGACTTTGGGCGTCACGACCTTCTTGCCCTCCTGCGAAACAAAAAAGAACATTGAAAAGGAATAAATGAGTGGGGAAAGGCAATCTTAGGACATCTTCAAAGGCGATCAAGGATAGAAGACATGAATATCCAAAGCACGCAGCATAGTGATATCCTTAAGTCCGTAAGTTTGATGCCAAAGGCTAGAAATGAACAGTGACTACAACTAGAAACAAACCTGCTGCCCTGTCTGCAGCGGCTACGGCTGCTGTTGCACCGCTGCTAGTACCACCAGGTCCAGGCTGCAAAGAGTTTGGGACAATTCAAGTTAGTCCACCTGCACCATTTGCGACATTAAAGATATACATACATATTTGACTAGAAAAAGTGAAGTACGCAGACTAGGTTCGACAATATAAAGGAAGAACAGAGAGACTCACGACTGATCGGGGTGCTGCTCCAGCAATTTGAGATTGCTGATATTTCAAAATCGTCCAGTCGAACACATAATCAAACTGAAAACCTACAAGACTCAAAAATGCCCAAAGTTACTATCAAAAGTAGACCCCAACAATCCACTCAAGTGAACCCAGGTAGGGCCTTCTGCGGAGTCATTCTCCAGCTCACAGGACATTCACGCAGCAACAAGAGAACTTCCTCACACTCTCCAGTGGCGTAAAACGACGAGTCCTCACCTTCACGGATGAAGAGATCTCGAAAAATCCTCTTCAAGTATGCATAGTCTGGCTTATCATCGAAGCGTAAGGAGCGACAGTAGTGGAAGTAGGATGCAAATTCTGACGGATGTGACTTGCAAAGAGCCTGAATTGAAAACCAAATTTGTGATAAGCAAAGTGATGAATTTGATGAGCATTCTGCAGTATCAAAAAAAATTCAAGTAGGAAAAGCATAGCGTACCTCAATAGCAGTTGACATCTTCTTCTCACTGATCTTCTCGTACTTTTGCTTCTTAGTTCCAGCCTTCAATCCTTGCCACGGAAGACTGCAGTTTCAGAAAAGTTGTTAGACAAAGTTGTATTTATCGATTGTTGTGCCATCAAGAACATGTTCAAGGGATGAAGGCAATACTAGCAAACCCACCTCCCCCTTAGGAAATAGAGCAGTACATAGCCCAGCGACTCCAAGTCATCTCTTCGGCTCTGCTCTGTGGACGAAACATATGGAAAAGCGTGAGACATGAACCTAAACCAGCCAAGAGGTGACAGGTACGATACCAAAAACACATGCAGGGTACTTGAAATGACTGGAATACAAAAAGAAGAATTACCAATTCCAAGATGTGTGTTGATGCTGGCATATCGTGCAGTACCAGTCAAGTTCTTATTTTCCCTGCAGATTTATGAAATGTTTAGAATTGCAGTCCTTGGAAATGAAACAGATATGACCAAGATGGAAAAACCATCAGATTCGATCTCTTATCGACATTAATCACAATAAGGATTCACACACTCCACTAGGCAATATGCACCACAAGCCACAAACAGTATTGTCGCAGCAGAAAAAGGGAAGACAAAGCAAACCGCCACACAAAGATGTAGAATGCAAAGAGGTACACTATCAAATTCCACTAATGAGAGACTGTCCACATGCTGCACATTTATCACAATATTCCAAAAATACCAAGCGATCCTTACCTGTAAGGGATGTGTTGGTGCGTAGAAGGATCACGATACTTCTTCGCAAGACCGAAGTCAATTATGTATACCTGGCACAGATTGCCAAAATATAGACATATTAAAGCAAGGAAAAAACGTGGCAAGACAATCCCGTCCACCTACATAGTGCGCCTTTAGCCTCGACTCCCTGCTTCGACCTCAATGACCGGAATACAGTTCACTTAAAACTTGAGAATACAGCAAATTAGTATCCAGTCCTAGTTGGAAGCATCTAGCAACTCGGCACACCTGATTTGCTCGCCTGCCGAGACCCATCAGAAAGTTATCAGGCTTTATGTCTCTGTGCAGAAAGCTCTTTGAATGGACATATTCAACTCTGTTGATCTGCCATACGAAAGTCGTCGTGTGTAAGTCACTAAACTGGTTACGAGTAATATGACAAGAAACAGAAAGCCAACATAACTCCCTATACTAACCCTATTGGGATGGAAAAAAAACTTTCGACGATAGCTTGAACTCAACTAATAAGTGCTGTTTCGAGTCACGAACTTATAAACATGATGCATAAGGCAGGTCACAGCCGACAAAATGGTACGGCCTACAAGCCTTGAGGCCAAGACGGCTTGAACATCCAGGGTACACGTACCAACTGGTCGGCAAGCATCAGAACAGTCTTCAATGAGAATTTCCGGCTGCAGAAGTTGAAAAGGTCTTCAAGACTAGGCCCCAACAAATCAAGTACCAAGACATTGTAATCTCCCTCTACACCAAACCATCTGATGTTTGGAATTCCGGCTGCAATTCACAAACAAGATGTCAATGTTCTGCTAGGAAAAACAAACAGGTACTTGTTTTCGCATGTAAGATCCAAATCCGAGAATGATGATATCTTCATAATCTTACTTCCTCCTTGAAGTATCCTGTATAGCTTTGACTCATACAGCAGCTGGGGGTGCTTCGTCTTGATACTCTCCTGTTATCATCAAAATCAAACAAACAAGAGACATCAACAACAGGTTTCATCAAGAGATATTGTGGCTCGCAGACACATTATAAGCGAGAACATACTTGCAAGCAAGATGCAACAGTCACAACATAGGGCTTCCGATTCAAATCAAAGATCTCAACCCTCGGACCGTACGATGTGACTGACACTGATCTAAGCCAGCTCCGTTCCTAACTGCTCCTTCCAGACGGCTTCATTCTAATGCTCCCACCGACGTGCAGTCCATTCGCTTGACGCCGTAGTCTTCTCATCAACACAATGTGATAATGAAAACACATCACCCGACACAATCTTATCTCTGGTTCCACGTTTAACGTAACCACAAGCCACAGTGCTGAAACTCATCTGATAACCTCTCGGAGTTTCACCATGCCACTATCTGATATTCAATCTAAGGGTATGAACTGTCTCTTTCTTCACATCCCAAGGTGTGCCCGCTCTATCGCTGATTATCAACCAATCCGTCACCTCCATTACACCAAAAAAACCGCTGGCACATATTCTTCCTCTGAGGCACATATGACAATCAGAACTGTAAAGGAAATCCATCCCCTCATCTACCGTACGGGTCCTAAGTCCATCTGCTACCAACTCCTGAACAGTCTATTAACCTTCCGCCAAATGTATCCGGCCCCTGCATCCCCTAAATCGCCAGGTCGTACACATGTATGGTCCTAAAGTACTTTCTCGATGACCAGGTCGACAGTTCAAGAAGGTCATGCGCAAAGATCTCAACAAAGGCACGAGCCAAGAACTTCATGAGCAGTACACGACATCTTCTCCTGATTCCTAACTCAAGACGTAAGAAAACCTGAGAAATAACAAGTTCGTACCAGCTTGATGCCAACCTCCTCGTTCGTCTGGATATTGGTTCCTAATATTCAAGAAACATAAAAGTACAGGTGAATTCGAGTGGCCGAGGTTCAAGAACTCTAAGCAAATAACGGCAAAGAAACCAGTGCATTTTAGGGCTGCATTCGTAGTATCGACAAGACGAGTAGATTAAAGGTTGCAGAGAGACGTCGGCGTCTCTGAGGTGAACGGGTACTGCGGGAATGTGCAAATCCATCGTGGGTAGCAGCGCTTTGACTATTTCTAAATCGAAGGTTGCCAACAAACACAACGACACGATGAAAAGGACGAAAGTCACAGCGAGTAGAGTAACGACTAAGGTTCAGTTAGAGATCACTCACCTAAGTAGATCTCGCCAAAAGAACCGCTTCCAATTTTCCGCCCCAACCGGTACTTGTTTCCAACACGAGGCTCCATTGCAAGGGGGTCGACGACTTGGTGCCGGCACCAGTTTTTATTTCGACACTGCAGTTTGGTATGATGTTAACTTCGATGGCTCCTAAAGCGAGTGTTGCAAAAGTCAGCCGGCTACCATGTGATACGGATTGGTAGTCCACACCCTGTTCCTAAGAGCTCGAACCAGCTAGTAGGCCAAGATCTAAATCGCTCTTCGTTCTCCCTGTGCTAGCCCTAGAACACCGACACTCCCGTAAGAGACCAATCAGCGGCTGGCAAATCACATCACTGTGCGTCTATGTGTTCCTGGTAACGCCAGGATAGGCTCCCGAAAAAGGCTTTGAATCACGAAACCCAGGCGCGTCGCTCACACGAGATTTGCGGCACCATCCAATGTTGATAAAAGTCTGAAGTTGGTTTCCTACTTCCTGCCTGCGTCCTTGGGCCCTGTAGGTTAACGAACGGGAGAACGACAAACGAAAGATGAGGTTATCAGAAAGTGGCTGTACAGAAGGGAGAAATCGTCAATGGTCGTGTTCACAACGCTGCGTGGCTCGCTCGCGGCGCCGAAGGCCGAAACCCCAACAGAAGACGTCTAGAGCCCCCGATCTGTCCAGGCAGCTTGTGAGCATCACTCTCAAGGCCCCAACTACTGCAAGATCTCATCTCCACTCTCTATGTTGCTCACAGACATTAAACGCCCGCAGGCGCAACCAAGGCGTGAACTCTTCCCTCTCTCCCTACCTTCTACAACTCGCTTCTCCTCTCGATGCCTTCCCACGTCCTCCTCCTCCTCCTCCACCCACCCACCTTCCGAGCGTCCTTCCCTTCCCTCCCGGCCTCCACCGTCCGGATGTCAATCTCCTTCACCCGCCAGCCTCTAACACAATACGCCTATCCGTCTATCCGTCCACCTTAGATGGGTGCATGCCCGCCCGCCCGCCGTGCCAAGATAAAGCGCTATGCTGTTGCGCTTGTGGTCGGTCGACGAGCAAAAGAACGACGCTGCAACGAGCTCGTCTAAAGACGCCACGGGACTGGTCGCTTCCGAGACAATGAGCAACAACAAGGGAGGGAAAGGCAGGCACGAGACGAGAGGAGAGGAGAGGAGAGGAGGGGGGAGGCGAGCAGCAGCAGCAGCAGGGCCAGAGAGAGAGAGAGTGGGGCGAGAGAGGGAGGGCGGAGACAGAGAGAGCAAGCGAGAGCGAGAGCGCGCAGCGGCAGCAGGAGCACAGCAGCGGCAGCAGGAGAGGGGAGGGGGAGGTGGGAAGAGGAGGAGGAGGAGGAGGACGGAGGAGGTCCGAAAGGTGGTACCCGAAACTAAAAACAGCTGCTGCTGCCTGCCAAGCTAGCTGCGCACGAAAGCGAGGCAGGGGCTGCACTGGCCTGGCCTGGCTTTGCTAGGGCACGATGGCCGCGCCCCGAGCCTGCCTGGCCTCGGCTGGCCTCGCTTCGGACGCTTCGGGACCGAGCGAACTGGACATGAATTCCCAGACATAGATAGACCGCAACAGATCAGGAGGGTCCTCGGGGCAGCACAAATGGCTGCCCGGCTACCGAACAACGAGCGAGGGAGCGAGGCCGAGGTCCCGTCCGCGACCCCGTCCGGTCACGCCAGCGGCCCGGCGCTCGGCTCCGACTTCGACTTCGACGGCCCGAGTCCGTTCGTTTGCCCTCGCGGTCGTCGACGCACGCCACCGTAGACAGCACGGCGACAGAGACAGATCCGTCGGACGCAGTCAGATGTAGTCCGATCGATCGAGCTAATCACCGCGCTCCAACTCAGCGATCTCCTTCACGCAGTCATCCGCGATACATTCTATCTGGTGGAGACCGCGACCACGTCCGTACTCCGCTCGGTATCCAGGTCTTCATCCCCTGTAAGTACCGCACAAGTACCGCCCCCGAACTGTATGTACACCTGTAGGCATACAACGCGGAGACGACTAGCAGGCAGGGGCCGGGCAAGTTCTGCTGCATGCCCATCCATGCCCCCCGCATCGCCCTTCCCCTTCGCAATTCCGCGTGGGTAACTGTAAACGCTCTGGGGTTCCAATAAATAAGTGTATTAATATGATTATGGCTATTATTATGTCCATCATATCGTATCGATCCGCCGGTCGTAGGCCTCGTTACGATTTACGGAAGGTAAATGTAGCCGTAGCTGAGGTCTGCGACTCTGCGCGAGCTGCCACGCACGTAGCTCCAGTCGAGACCATAACGTAAGACATTGACATTTTCTAGCCAGGGCCCAAGCCGACGTGGTGGTACCCGCGGGGCTGCCCGGTCTGCCCATGTGGCATCTACCACCACACCGGGAATAATCCGCAAGCTCCTTCGAGATCCATTCCAACCCACTGCCAAGTCAAGCTCGCGCTGCCCATATAGATCTCTCGGCCCCTCCGCCCGGCCCACGGCAACCACGCCCGAAACCGTGCTGCAGGCCCGCATTTACCCACCGAAGGCCGGACCGGGGAGGAGACCGCGCTCACGCACACCTGTCGAGCTCCGAGTTTCGTCTGGCACCGTCCGATCCTTCGAGGGCGCGCAACTCGATGGGCCAGCCACGTGGAGTTCAATTCTGTGCACACACAGCTCCGCTAGATTTATCTGCGCGCTGCCGACACCCACCGCCGTAGATAAGATGGGGAGATACAGTGGAGGGGGAAGTCTGGAGGTGCCGAGATACATAGTCGGGGTGGTTTCGGATGTCCCCAATCTAGCCCAGGATGTGTGATAGTGCCAAAGGACGCGGGCGTGGGCCACATACGAACAAATCGTGGTGGCTTATGGGTGGTCTTTCGGGCCCCGGGATGATATATGCTCTGCCCGCAGGGAGCCGTGGTTCGCTGATCGGCCACGTGGCAAGGCCCTGCGCTGAGGTCGGCATCCCGTTCATACTCATACCCACATGGCTTCGCCTTCCATTCCCATATGCCGTACCTCCCATCTCGTCTCTAACTGCATGCTCGCGGCCCATGATACCATGCACGCATGTCATGGGTCACCGCCCATGACCGGCACCCCGCGGACCGATCAGGACCGGGAAGCGGAGGCGCTGCATCCATCGCATCCGCTCACCGGCCCATGAGCTCGTGTCGCTGCGACCTTCGGTCACCCCTGGGCAGATCGATCTTCCAGTCACATGGTTGCGTCCTTTTCTTTTGGAGTTGGCAGGGGGGAGTGGGGAGCGGGGGGTCCCTTTCGAAAGAGAGAGCCACCATTAGCGCCCGGTTGCCCGCCAAATATAGCAGGAGGATTAGATGAGATGCCTTCGAAGCCATGCGGCCAAATTCGGTAATGGAGACAACTTGGTAGGGCAGGCACAATCCAGTAGGAGGGGGGTGCCGAGACGTCACCATGTTCTCGGAGCTGCGCATCGGTACGTGGGATTGAATTCGTTCGGAGGCAAGTTTTGGTAGCGAGCCCAAAGCTTGTACCGATGTACCGTCTTGGGCACGAGAAAGTCCGGAGATTCGTCGTGGTCGCCCTCAGTCCTATCCCCCACTCGAACGAGTCGCTCTTGCCGTGTTGAGTCCTTGGGGTTATAAATGATCGATATCTACTGTTAGACGACCGGCTCTCCATTTGGAATTTACTCGAAAGTGGCATCCTAGCTCTGTTGTGGCTAGGGAGGCAGGCAGGCGAAGGTACAGTAGATAGATCACGAAGCTTTTTTGCGTTGCCGGTTGGGTTGGGGAGGACTTATCAGTCCGCCCTTCGGGTAGTCGGACGAGGGAGAGATTCTTTGGAAGGGGTACAGTGAACGAAAGTATTGGAGTTCCTGCTCGCTGGTTTGGCGTGGGGCACACCCCAGTCGAATCTTCAGCTCGAGGTAAATATCCCATGGATGGGAATTTCGATAACCCCATCATTTGTGGGCTTGATTTGGTCCTTTCTGTGCCGAGTGTTGCAGCAATGGACAACAGATGTAGTGCTGAAAATCTCTTTCTCTGTGCCATGCGTAATGTTCTTTTTGCTCGTGTGTATCTTGGCAAGTCGACTCACCACGTACTTTTTCAGGCTGGACTCTGAGAGCACGTACACTACAATGCAAAGCAAAGCATATTGAGACTTTCAGACCCAAAGCCAGGCCATAGCTACTACGCTGTCCCTGCCATAGCCCTCCTCGTCCTACATCCAGAAGCTAGCGACGACAAAGGACTCTAGACCATGCATCATCTTCGAAGATGTGGTAAGACGATGTCCTCCACTTGGGACGGACCTGGAGATATAACTTTGTCCGTATGGAATCCCCAAAAAACCACTATCATCCACACTCCTCAGTCCGTATGCAGTTATGATATACACATGAGTACTACAAAAGCGGGAGCTTCAGTAGGAAGAGGGAATTTGGAAGTTGGAGAGCACGACACCTAAATTGAACCAACACGATGCCCTTCTCCTCAGTATTTTATTGATTCACGGGCCACACAAGTCAAGCGCCTCCGCTTTGTGTGTCCTGCTTGCACTTGCTTCTACCTTAGGTTTCGAACCTCTTTCCAGTATCCAGGCCAGGGCAGGGCTTGACAACGTCGTCTAATCGTCCACGTCTGTATACCGCCTTGACTTGAATTGTCTCACCAAATCACAACCATGCAGTAGCCCGGTCTGATCAGAGAGCCTTCTGTATACTGAAAATGTCAACTTCTCCGCCGAGTTTGATTCCCTTGGCACAGTGGTAATTAGAGTGATTTGCAGAGCAGTTACATTTGGTGTGCCTCAGGATCTTATTCCCTTCCAGCCTTGTTCCATCAACTTTCATCCTTATTTCACTCCCGATGCGATACTATCACACTGCAGTCACCATGATTCAGCGTCCACGACGGTTCGTTGTTCAATCACAAAATCCGCACTCTTTCTACATCCGATGACGATTATCAGCTTTAATGAACTTTCAACGTTACAGTTCTCTCCGCGTCTAGACAAGTCTTGTGCATGTGAATGTTATGCACCCTATTCGCGCCTGCCCTCGTCTCCGGTCAAAGAGGTATCGAGACTTAGAACAATTCATTTCTTGTCGATAACCTTCGAGTTGCTTACTGCTTCTCTTTGACGTCTATTTATATTCTCACCAACTTTTGCTCCAGTTGAAATAGGGTATATGTCATGGAGGTAAACTTGTTCCCTCTCGCAAGCCAATTGCATCTGACAAAGAGACCATCCCGTAGCATTGTTCAAAGAAACAAGAGATAATTTAATATAGAAATCCTTTATGATTTTTATGGTATCTCAGCAAACCATTTCTTTCTTCTTCTAGTTGCCAAAACGGCGATGAGCCTACAACATTGTTAGGGTTAGCTTGGCAGAAGGTAACAAATTACATTTTCTGTGAAGAGTTACTCACTTCCTTACCAGCTGCGTAGCTCAAAATAGGTAGGCAAGCTATTCGAATCACTTCGTCTCACTGATTTAGATGATAAATCATCATCAACGTAAACATGACACCAAATGCGTAAAAATTACTCTATTACAATATCACCCCGGGATGCAGTCATAACACGTAAGATGACGGACATGAATATCATGTGATATTATTTATTGTAGGCAACTTCTTCGCTCTCGGTGATTTTAAGGAGGAGCATGAATATCGCGAACATAAGATCCTTCCAAACGTGAGTGAAGATGAATATAATTGTAGGGAACATGAGGATTCAAAGATCTTTTCTCAGTCACAAGAGTTTCAGTGGAAGAGTATGTGTGGTTTGAGTCACACATGTGAAGAAGAGGAAAACTAGGATACGTGTGGTAGCACAATTATTTGATAAAATAATTAACACCCGCATAGGCTCTGCAGTTTATGGTTTTTAAGTTTCAAATTATCATAATGACGTTTAGTAGCTGTACATAAAGAGTGTGACCTGACTTCATCCTTCCAGAAAAATCCAGTAGTTATGCCATTCAATGTATGTATATGGGGAAAAAAACATGTACACATGATAATAATAAATGTACGCATACGCATCTTATAGTTTAGGTTGTAAAACTTAACATCTTGACAAGTGATGAGAAATTGCTCCAACGTTCTACATGAGTGACCACCAAAATCATTATCATCATATGGGCTATACAGGAGTACAGCGTGATGTGTAGTCATTGTAGTGTGGTCCACTCAAATTCCAGGTAAACTCACTGTAGACTACCCTAAAAAATCATATCAGAGTAATTTTCCAGCGGTTGTACACAAATTATACAGTGAGCATTTCCAGCTTTTGGCTAGTCAGCAAAGAATCCCTGCAATCGATAAGGCCCAAGACATTTTTTTTTGCGATTTATAAGAAGTTCTTTGCCTAATCTGCGAAGATTA